GGAGCCCGATGCGGGACTCGATCCCAGGACCCTGGGATCATGACCTGAGCTGAAGGCAGTCGCTTAACCAACTGAGCCACCCAGGCGCCCCTCACTTCTCCATTTCTATTTCATAAAACGTATCTTTCCTTGAAAACCTAAGCAGATGCCCACTCCTTCAAAAAACCTTTCAAAGTCCACACCTAGACTCATCTCACTCTCGGCTCTCACTCTCTTTGTACCAGTCATAGTGCTTATGGCACCCACCTCTGATGAAGAACATCACCTGTTGAGCATTTACTATGCGTGGGACTTGAATCCTCACTTCGGGAAGGCTATTATGCCCATTTCACAGAGGAAGAAACTGAGGCTCAGAGGACTTCAAGACTTGTTAGGTTCACACAGCTAAGAAGCAGAAGGAACGGAATTAAGGCTGCTTATTTTAAAGATGTCTGCTCTGATCAGGGTGGTTTCCCATAGCTGTCGTGACCACGTTCCTAATGTTAGCAAGGTGGGATTTTGCAAATATTCTGCAAAGGAAAGAAGGCTGCCCTTGGTGCAGCTTTTCCCTTCTTGCCTGGGCGAGCTGCCACTCCTCCAAAGCTCCAAGGCGTACCCTTCACCCATGCGGGCCCCAGTGGCTCTTTGGGAAACATGATCGCAGCTCTGTAGCGGGGCAGAGAGACCCTAGGGGGGCAGCCAGGTCTGCAAGCGCAGGAACGGCAGGAGGGAAGGCAAGAGACACCCCAACCACACCCAGCCTGGCCACCTTGTTTACGCCTCTTGCACGGCCCCGCCCGCCGGGCCGGGCACGTGACCTCCGCCCCGCCCCTCGCTCCCTCGCGTGGCTCCTCCCGCCACGCCGGCCCTTCTTTTCGCCTCCTTCGGAGTCACAAGATCTCTCAGCGGCCTCCTTTCGGGATCCTTCCGCCCGTCCCCGCCCCCCTACCTTCCAAACTCCCCTGAGTCCTTTCTCGAACGGCTCGCATCATCGGTAATGAGCAGGAGGGCCTCTTCCGTCCAACCGGGCTGCCGGCTGCGGTCATCTGTCACTGGAGTCGAGAGGGAGGCGAGACCCAACTGGGCACTCTTTTTCGTGGCGGAGGCTGCAGCGACCGTGGACATTTCACGACGGGGGGAGGTGCTGTACGTCCAAGATGGCGGCGCCCTGTAGGCTGCAGGAACTGTGAGGTAAACAGCTGAGGGGGAGGAGACGGTGGGTGAGTATGGGGTGTCTCCCCCTCCTTTTCATGGGGGCTTCTCGGGGCAGCCCTGGCACCATGACCCCGGTCTGGGAGGCCCCGAGGGACTGGGGCAAGGGGCTCACTTGCTGGAGAGGGAACCCCGGGAAGGGGTGTTCGGAGAGCTTACCCCTCCCTCTTATTACGCGCTATCTCTGGCGGGGCCCCGCAGAGCTGGCGAGTCCCTGGGGAGGAGAGGCGGGCCGGACCGGCACTTCGTCCCTCCTCGGCGGCCTAGGGGACGGCTGCACCCCCGGGGCGCGGTGCTGAGGGCAGGGGTGAGGTGGGCCCTTTCGCCAGCCCCTCACTTGGTGGGGTGACAGTTTCTCTCGGGGTGCGGAGGGCAGGAGAGAGACCCTTGGCCGGAGGGGAAGGGCCGGTGGGGGGAGGGCGGCTGGTTCTGGGGCTTCAGGAGAGGGGTCAGCGGTGGGGAGGAGAATGAATGGAGGCTGCCTGTGGGCATCGAGGACTCGCCTGGACTCGGTGTCTCCACTGAAATTTGCAGGACTAGGGTGCCTCCCTCCGGGTGTGCTTGTGGGTGTTTAATTGATGGTGAAAGACAGTTACCTGAAAGTGAGCAGAGGTGAACCTTAGAAACAGCAGAGCCACTCCTAGACGCTCATTCATTCATTTGAGGAACTGGAGGATGAAGAGCCCGCAGTCTGAGAGACCTTTTAGAATTAAAGCTCTTTGTGTTTCCTGTTAAAGAGTTTTGCTTCGTGTGTTTTGGATTTGGGCGTGGGGGAGCTTGGGAGGGGGCGCGGTCCCCCTAATAACAACAGCTCACGTTTATGGAGTACTCACTATGGAAGTGCTTTGCAGTCGTCATCTCCTTTAGTCCTTGCGACGAAGGGAAGAGGCAGCCTCTGTTAATACTTCCATTTCCCTGGTGAAGAAACTGAGGCCCAGAGAGATTAGGGTTACTTGCCTAAGATCACACCTCTAGGATTATCTGAGCCGGGGCTGGAATTGGGGTCTAGGACTATGCTATGGGTTCCAAGACTGTGCTCCTGCCATTATTTATACTCGCATTCATCTGTTTATACTCTAATTTATCTGTTATTTGACCAAAGCCAGCCTGTCATTCTAATTAAGTGATTAATCAGTTGGCCAGAGTTTGTGCACAAGTGCCTCTGTGTGTGTGTGTGTGTGTGTGTGTGTGTGTTTAATCTTGAAGAGGGGTACATTTGTTTATATACTTAGCTGTGTAGATGCGTAGCCGTAGGTGCATATGCACTTTAGCCTTGTTTGGGATGGCAGTGTTGTGCTTGTAAATATGTTAGTCTAAATCAGGCTGGCAAGTATTTGATGTTTTTATAAAACGGATGTGTTTACTGCAGAAAGAAGGCTTACTAAAATCCTTGCTGGTTTTTTTTTTTTTTTTTTTTTATAGAAAGCATAGAAATAGTACTTCACTTTACATAGAGTAAGCTGTAAAAGTACTAAAATAGAATAATACTCTTCTGAGATACTTTGATTTATAATTTTGGGATCAACTTGGAGTCATCTGAATTCAAACATGCTGGCAAAGTGGAGCTGTAAATTTCAAGAAGCATTATAAAACTGAATCTTCTGGGAGCCCTTGATTTACTGAGCAACCACCTGTGATTCTTAAGTTGAACATTCCTGAGTAAACCTGGAATATGCAAATGTGAAAGCTGATTTAGGGTTGTGCAGGGAAATGTACCTGTAACAGTCATGCATCAGGCAAATGAGGCTCCTCAGAAACACTGAAACATTCTTTGCTATTGCCCTGGGGAGCTGCAGAATCTTCCTCTAAACACCTGGTGTAAACTTAAGGGGCATTTATAGAAGATGTAAAATGAAAATATCCTCTTGCTAAAGTTAATATCTTATCCAGAACACTCTTACATCACGTGCCTGGAAGGGTAGATGATGTAAGCTTTCTTCACTTCATGCATTTCCTGGTGTCATAAAGACTTGGTATGTTTCTAAATTCCTAGTTAGATTCTTAGGCGGCTACCAGCCTTCTCACTTATCTCTGTTAAGTTGGAATGTCTCAAATCCTGTGACTCAGTTGTACTCTCCCTTGCTGGGCTAAGAGCAAAGACATCCCATACTGCTACTGTTGTGGTGTAATCTGATGCCTTTTGTGCATGCTTGGTTTCAGTTGTGAGCTGAAACTGAAGAGTCTTACTAGGACAAATCAAATATATACCTGTTTATGTAGTGTTTACAGAATAATGAAATTGCTGGGAACAAGAGATCTCAAGCAGTAGTGTTCCATCAGAACCTCCATGCACAGATGTCTAGCCTCACAGTAGGTGGACCTACATATTTGGTCTTCAAGGATACCCTGTATATATATTTTGGAAGAAGTCATAGGTGATTCTGCTGTACACCAGAAGTTGAAGACCAGTGGCTTCAAGTATCAATTTGGCTATTTTTCCCTTAATGTATCATTTATAGCAGAGGCATTTCCTAAAATAGTTTCTAAACTCTGGCGTGGGTAGTGGTGGGTGAGTTTTGGGCTCTGAATTACAACTGACTTGATCTTGTAGCTCTGTCTTCTTTCACCGTTTGTTAGGGTACAGTGATGCTCTTTTCCGGGTTCCAGAGCCATAGTGGACTAAAATTAGCTTTTCCTGGAATTAATTGTATACTCTTGGATGCAAATGAGCCAAAGACAGCAACACATCAACCATTTTAAGCTTTCCTCAAAATCAAATAGTTTTCGACTTTTAACAAGCCATTGAAGTTCTCTGAGCTTCAGTTTCTTCATCTGTGAAATAAGAGAGTTGGATTGTGAATTAGAGGATTTCTGATAAATTTCTGGGATTTCAAGTCCTCCTGGGGCTTCAGCTAAACATTCTGACTAAATTGATTGAATCCAAGTGTTAATGGCTTTATAATAACCAAGCAAATTGGTGACTCTTAGCCTGACCTGTTGAGTGATGACTTGTTTGTCCTTTCCTTTATATCACATGATTTTTTAAAAGGTAATTCCCTGTATGTTCATTATATTATAAGTCTCTCTTTGGGAGATCAGTTTTATTTATATTAGTTTTGTTTGTCATGTAAGTAGCTGAAATTAAGCGTGAAAGCAAAATGTACTCAGTAACATTCAAACCTGTAGCTTTTTGCTTTAAAAAATATGTGTGTATGATTAGCATACATTCACACTTGAGTTTTTTCCCTCACTGCTTAGTATAATTTAGTTTGCATGACAATACTAAATTTTGCCATTTAAATTGGTCTGAAAGAGGTCTACCATCAGCAATTTGAGATTATTCTTTTCTGATTTACTTTTTAAGCCTATAGTTACAAGAAATTAGTCATTTTTTAATGGTTTTTTATTTTTAAGATTTTATTTATTTGACAGAGCACAAGCAGAGGGAGAGAGAGGGAGAAGCAGGCTCCCTGCTGAGCAAGGAACCCGATGTGGGACTTGATCCCAGGACCCTGGGATCATGACTCGGGCCGAAGGCAGCTGCTTAACTGACTGAGCCACCCAGGCGTCCCAAGAAATTAGTCATTTAATATCTAATGTCTATATTTTTTTTGGAGGGGGTGTAAATAAAGAGTTCCCCCCCCCCAAAAGGGTGAATACCTTTTTTTATATAAAAAAGGTACATGATGTTAAGACCTTGCTAGTTTCTTCTTGTCCCTTGTGCAGTGCTAACTTTTGTTCTGTCCAGGGAAGTAGCAAAAGGTAACAGATGAATGAATTCAGATTGTCATCTATTGGGTAAAATGCCTTAAAAACCTAGCTTTGATATAAAACAAGGCATGGTAGTTACTGGCCTAGAACTCACAGGTCACTTTCTAAAGTAAAGAGACTGTGAAGTATTTGAGTAACGAGGGACAATTTTGTCTTTCTGTTGGTGATGGAAGGCCCAGTAGGGAGTGATAAGGAAGAACAGATGTAGCGACCTTAACATCTGCATGCATTCAGTAAGACCTGTGTTACTTTGAATGGTTCACAGAGCACAGTAGCAAACACGGAGTGTATCCATTTTAAATTAGGGAATGGTTTTATCAATGTTTCACATACAAGTTGTTACATGGAGAGACTGCTAAGCCTTACAGACCCAGCAATACATTTTGTTTAGTAGCAATACTGTTATAATCAAGTTTATATTTGGTACTTATTTCCTAAAAATCAGTGTGCCTAGCACTGTGCTAAGTATTTGACATGCTTGATCCCTGTGAACTCTTCCCACAGCCTTAAGAGACAGGATAGGGAGATGGGGAAACAGGCCTAAGGTCACTTACTCAGCTTCTGAGCTGGGATTTGAACCCTGTTGGTTGACTTCAGAGCCCGAACATTTCATCTTTCACTTTGATAAACGACATGAACTGCTAATTGTAACTAATTCATAGGTCAGTGGTTCTTAACTTTTGGGGGGCCTCAGTTCCCTTCCGAAAATCTGTGGGACGTTTTGGATCAAGTATCCCTTCCTGTCCCATCACTACCAAACAGTTCATACAGATTCATTCAGGAATTTTATGGACCCAGCTTGCAGCCTAACTGATTATTCTAGACAGATTGCCCCCCTTAAAAATGGATTTGGACTTTATTAAAAACAACGTGTTTTTTTTTTTTTAAACGGGTAGGTAGGAAAGGCCCAAGCCTTTTAAAAATGGACCTGTGTGCTGTTTGGGTTATAAGTCATTTTGTTAAATTTTTATATTGAAAGATTCTTTACACTTCCCTGGGAATTCAACCTTAAATGCCCCATTTTAAAAAAATCAGAAGTGGAGACCTCAGGTATGGAACTTGCTAAATGCTTGTCAGGCCTGGCATTCGGTCTGTGCTGCTGCCTTTAGCACCTGGCGGAGCTCCACTGGGCTTTTTTCCAAGGTTTATGCACTATGTATTTTTTTCCCTTTGAACCTCAAAGTATTTATGAAATTATGTATTAAATATATGTTTTTAATGTTTCTTGGCATCATCCTTCTTCTTCCTGGACCAGTGGTTCTCAACCTTTAGTGGGCATCAGAATGACTCAGAAGACCCCACCCCCAGAGGTTCTGATTCAGAGGTGTGGTTCCAGGCCCAAGGGTCTGCATTTCTAACAAATTCCCAGGTGCTGCTGCTGTTGCTGGTGTGAGGACCACATTTGAGAACCACTGTCCTAGACTATCAATCAAACCCTGTGCCTTTATTCCCTAGGGTATTTCTATTTTAGTTCTATGAACTTGAAACTTAAAGAAATCTTAACAGTTTGCTCAGATTTCTTTTACGGGAAGCTCTGTAGAGGGACTCTTTGAAATATACGTGGTATCTGTCTGACCTGTATTTTCTCTGTAAATAATTTTGTTCAGGCTAAAAGAAACATTATTTATAGAAGAGATACATCTTACTGAAATCCAGCTCTGTCTCTACAGGCAAGTTCGACAAGATTCACCTTTGAAATAGGCTATAAGCTTCAGCAAGTTGTCCTTCAAGGTCCCTAATGGCAAAAATTCTGAATGGCGAATCTGGAGCTCCCCTGCCCCAGTTCATGTGACCTTGAGAGGGCCTGCAGCTGCGAGACCGTGGAAGTCACCCACGACTACACATTTTGGCAGGTTTTGCCATCAGCTCCTTCACTCTGACGTACAAAGTAGTGTTTCCTACCCCCTTCTCCTGTATGTCCGTGGGAAGAGGGAATCGGAGCTAGTATCTTATCCTTTTTGGACGCTTTTGTGCTAAAGGTAGCTTTGTTCACTTGATAGAATACTGTCCTAAGAAATCACCTGAGACCGTTCCTGAGCCAGAGCTGAACACAGTAGTGTCTTAGTGTATGATTATTACTATTATCTTTGTTGTTAACATAATGGTGTAATGGTTCTGTTCTACCTGTACTGTACTTGATACTGAAATCGTCCGTCTGTGACTGAACCCGTATCTGAATTCTTTGAATTTTTATATGAAAAACCTGAGTAGAGACAGCAGGTTACGGCGAAGGGTATCTGCCTGCAGGTGTACGTCATAGACAGGTGTGCATGAAGTCATCTCAGGCGATGTGGTTTGCATTTCCCAGGAGTCGTAGGATAGAAAGCCACACAGAGTACTGGCCTTCCAGAAGTCTGAATGTTCAGCTGATATTTTCAGATAAAATACTTCCTAAAGGCATTTTCGGTGCCTGCCACTAGCATTTCATAAAGGGATAGGTAGCTCTTAGCACTCACGGCTTGTAATGCATCTCGCCTGGGGCAGAGAAATGTGAAAACATGTGTATGGGTCCAGCCAGTGACAGCAGTCCGTGGCTGTTAAGCTGGAGTTCATGGATAATCCTAGGTATATAAGCCATCTACCTATCTGAAACACCTTGAGAATGAAATTAAGGTGAACTATGAAAACAAATTGACCTGTGCTCTTTCTCTTTAATCTCAAAATACTAACAGCACAGAGCCTCTTCTTCTTCCTCAAACCTACCCTTTATTTATTTATTTATTTATTTATTTACTTTTTCCCAAAAGACTGCTTGTAGGAAGTGCCATCACAATGTTGCTTTTAGGTGAGAACACAGCTTTTGGGTCAGATATGAAAGAGGAAAAATCTAGATCTGGGGGGCATGTTTCTTCTTTAATTTGGCTCTTGAAGTTAAGAATGTGGATTGACCCTGTTATGCTCTGACAGGTGCTTCCATCCACACCCTTTTGGGGTACACATCTTTGAGGGGGGTCTTCTTCATTCCTCACTTCCTTTCAGAAGTTCACAGGTCACATCTCACTTGACTGACCGGAATGATTTTAGCTAGTAGTACTCCATAGGGCAGGATTTAAATATAAATAAATAAGTAAATAATTAAAAATATAAATAATGGCAAGTAGCCTTTGACAAGCCAGCATTAGATTGATGACAACTTATTACCATTAACCATTTTTTTGGCCTAGCAATAAAGAACTTAAGAAGTCTTAATGTTGAGAGCATTGGACAAAAAAAATTCTGATTTCCTGTGCCAGTCCCTTTGTCTAGGATAGTGATCTTGGCTGGGCGGCTACAGAGCTCATCTTATATATATCCCAACTTTACCCTTGCCTTGGATATTCCTTTTCAGGTAAAAGATCCAACTAGGATTAATCATAACAGGAAGTCTGTATGACTCACTGGACTGACAGCTGATGTTAAGGTTGTGAATATTAGAGGCCTCTGTGTTTTAATTCCAGTTCTTTTCTTGATTGACTGTGGCCAGGCAGGCACTCCCCATCTGAATGATTTGGGGGGCCTTTCTGAGAGGCCAGCCCGCCTCCTAGCAGTGGACACACACTTGGAATATGCCACTGAGGACCATTGGTGTTTAATGCCTAGAATGTGCTTCACAAGGAGATATAATTACCCGGTCATGTGGGGCACGAGATTTTAATTGTTAGAGAGTTGCTCCATCCACGAGTTCGACTTTGAGCATCATAGTATAGTGAAGGGCTTATTGGCAAGCTTTCCCATGCTAACTCACTAGACAGACGCAGTGTGTGAGGCTCAGCTTCCATACTCTACCTCCCACCCTGGAACGGCGACCAAAGAAGTTGGTGAAACCTTTGCTGGCCTGCACAGAGTATATTTGCCTCTTGAGTGCCAGATGCTGCAGTAGGCCCGGGGTGTCCACTGGGGGACCAAACAGATGGTCCCTGTCCTTGCGGAACTTCCCATCTCATGACCAGACGATACCTAAATATAGTTTGAGTGGCCCACATTTTAAAGGCAGATTGGAATGTATTTGTAGAGACTCATATTTAATACGGTTATTTAATATGAGATCATTTAGACAGAAAGTATGGTAAAGAGGGGAAGAAGGTAGAGAAATGATAGCTGTCCACAAATATTTTATGCTTGTCCTGTGGAAGATCAGATTAAGGTCACACTGTTTTGAAGGCAAGATTCAGTTTCATATGTTTATTTAAGAACTGTTGTAATGGCTTCCATATTGTCAGCAAGTACCAGACACTGTGGTAGTTGCTAGAGCTGTGGGTACTGACTGAGCTGCTATCTCTGCCTGGGTGTAGCTTCTGTTCTAGTGAGGGAGACGTGTTCAGTAACTAATTACGCTTATTTAATTGGGTTGTGGTAAGTGACACAAAGAAACAGAGGCTGCTAAGCAAATATAACAGGGGACCTGACCTAGTCTGGGCACGGGAGTGGAGGGAAGTGAAGGCTTCTCTGATGGGGCAGTTTTTTTTTTTTTTAAGATTTATTTATTTGAGAGAGTGTGAGAGAGTGCTAGTGCCCGCCCATGTGCAAGTGTGAAGAGGAGCAGAGGGAGAGAGAATCTCAAGAAGACTCCTTGCTGAGCGTGGAGCCTGATGTGGGGCTCGATCTCATGACCCTGAGATCACGACCTGAGCTGAAACCAGGAGTCGGTTGCTCAACCAACTGAGCCACCAAGGCGTGATGGGGCCAATGTTTAAGCTGAGACTTTAGGGGTGAATGCTTAGCTTGGGAGTGGGGAGGCGAGAGGGGCGGGGCTGTAGGGAGGGAGGGGGAGTATGGGGCGTTGGCGACCAGTTGTAGGCCCGCTAAGTGCTTTGCACCCGGCACCGTTCCTGCTCTCGGGGCGTGTGTCCCAGGGCTTCTTGAGTGATGACCGTGCCCCGGGCTGCGCCAGGTCTGCAGGTGCATCATCTTCTGTAACCCTACACAGCCTTCTGAGGTAGAGGCCGCCATTCTTCTCACTTTCCAGATGAAGTAATAAGGTCAGACGTGAGGCATCTGAGAGAAACTGCCAGAAGTGGCCCAGCTAATATGTGGCAGAGCTGGGATTGTACCTCGGAACCCTAGGACTCGAGAGCCCATCCTGCCCATTTGTTTATAGCTTCAGTAAACAGACAGCTAACAAAAGGCAGAGATTACAAGTTCAGCACAATATAACGAATTTTCCAGCAACCAGCTGTTCAGAAATGTAGACAGGGAGAGGCACGTGCGCCCACTGTTGTAAGTGTTCATTCCTGTGGAAACTAGCTGGCCACCTGTCAGGGCTGGGGCAGGAAGGAGGTCGAACCAGGTGAACCCTAAACTCCCCCTGGGTGCATCTGGGATTTCACTTCATTGTAAGATTATTGTATACATTATATGTGTTTTTTTCCCTTCAGTGACCATGAAAGACACCAGGTTGACAGCACTGGAAACCGAAGTACCCATTGTCCCCAGAACAGGTAAGGTATAAACTCAGTCCAGTGGTTGGGGAGACAGAAGGGAGTCGTTCACGTGTGCAGGTGTGTAGGTGTGTATGTGTTTGTTTGCAGTGAGGATTTAACAGTTCTGGTTTTAGCTACTTACTAGGAACTGGTCCTTCTGTGGCATGAAGTAATTTTGTCAAATTACCCATGATTTGTTAATTGCTTATTCCGTGCCAGACACTGTGTTAAGTGCCTTCTTTATATGTGTTACTCGTTTGCTTTTTCACAGCTACACTTTTGATGTAGCCCCATTTTACAGATGAGGAATGGGGCTCTGAGATATTAGCTGAATTTCCTAAGGTTGTATAGCTGCACGTGGTGGACCTGTGACTCAGATCAGTTCTGTTTAGCAGCGAGGTTTGGTTTTCGCCGCTAAATGAAATCGAAGACTTTGTGTTGGAGCGAGTCATTTGACTAGTGCAGAGGCTCTCAACCCTGGCTGTGGAAATCCACTTGGATCTGTAAAAAAAACCAAATGTGCTCTCTCGGCCCCACCCCTTAACTTGTTCTGGAGTGGGGCCTGGGCTTCAGGATTTTATAAAGGTAATTCTAATGTACATCCTGGGCTGAGAACCCCTGAGCTAAGGAATTAGCATTTACATCTTAACTTGGCTTTATTTACTCATTGTCTTAATTAGTGTTCTGGGATGAACTATATGCTGTGACAGTTTCTAGGAATTGGAGGATTCTCAAGGTCCCAGAATATATCCTTCATAAATATTGAGGCTTTGGCACTTTTGTGGATATGAACTTGGTCTTAGTGACGTGACTTATCACTGAGCTGTAATTTTGAGTTTACTGGTAAGAGTGCCCAACACAGCAGCATCGTTTGTCTGTGGGAAGGTGTGGGGAAGATAGGGAAGCTGTCTGGTTTGCCGTCTGTGTGTGTTTAGCTCATGGGGTTCATGTAATGGCTCACTGGTTGCCACTATGTCACTGCCTGCCTCACCTGACCTCGTAGGAATTGTGAAATAAAGTAGGGATTTTTACCTTCAGGATGGATGTCTGGTCACAGAAACTTGGTACGGCCTGTAAATTATCTAACAGGAAGGCAGAAGCAGCATTCTCTCACAAGTAGGGGGAGCTTTCTGAGTGTGACTTTTCCTATTCAAGATTTTTGTGTATAGTTCACACTGTCCCTTCTTTAGAAGTCCGCAGAATGTGAATTTGAATCCAGCGTCGGGTGGTCGTGTTCGTATCATTGAGGCCCAAGCTGGCCCAAGCTGAATAACACACGTCGTAAATTTCAAATTTTATTCCACATTTTTCAGTATTGCAATTGTATGACATTTTAGTAGCTAGGTTTGTAAAGTTTGGAGTTTGTTTTTTGTTTTTTGTTTTTTTTTTAAAGATTTTAATTAATTTATTTATTTGTCAGAGACAGAGAGAGAGAGCGAGCACAAGCAGGAGGAGCGGCAGGCAGAGGGAGAAGCAGACTCCCCGCTGACCAAGGAGCCCGATGTGGGACTCGATCCCAGGACACTGGGATCATGACTGAGCCGAAGGCAGACGCTTAACTGACTGAGCCACCCAGGCGTCCCAAGTTTGGAGTTTTAATGTAGAAAAATGACTTTGTTAGGACTAGCAGCCAGATTGCTCCTGTGGTCACTGTGTCACATGTGTGATGCTGAATAGACGCTCGTCTCCGGCTGCCTTAGGCAGTGCCATCACTAACCTTTATGGAAAAAGCGGAATGTAATTTAGGGATGTTTCTGGGAGATTGTTTTCTAGAAGGAACCTGTATCCGGGATTCATAGGTTGGGCAAGCCTCACAGATCTTTTGTCTTTAGCTACTAATAATTGCTGGCGACCTGTAGCCATCATTTTGACAAGCTTTTTGTTTACATTTTTAACCTTCATAGACACAAAACTACAAGACATTGTCTTCCTAAAGTATTTTTGTAAGGTCTGTTTTGAAATTTGATTAGTGACTGTAAAATGTGTTAGAGGATTTCAGTTTTTCACTAACATTGTTTTCTTTATACTCTTTATATTCTTTATGTTTGATTCGAAGATGATTTATCATGGATGTTGTCGTTGGCTGTGATTTTGGACTTTTTCATGTGATAAAATTGAGGTGACAGGTTGACATTTTATTTTTTATTCATCTTCACGAGATGTGAAGTATTCCCAAATATGACTTTTTCTTGAAAGACTACTAATTAAGACTATAAGTTAAATGCAGTTTTTTTTTTAAGATTTTATTTATTTATTTGACAGAGAGAGAGCAGAAGAACATAAGCAGGTGAGAGAGGCAGAGGGAGAGGGAGAAGCAGGCTCTCCGCTGAGCAGGAAGCCTGATGCGGGACTTGATCCCTGGACCCTGGGATCATGACCTGAGCTGAAGGCAGTCGCTTAACCAACTGAGCCACCCAGGCACCCCTTAAATGCAGTTTTAAAAGTTTATTTTTGTTTGTAATAAATGCTACAAGATGATTCTATAAAATTTAGAATTAAAATATAATTTAATTTCTTTCTAGTTAGCCATCTGTTATTAAAATTTTTATAAACATTTGGCTCAAAGAGTAATTACTCTTATTTGTAAAGTTATTTATCTAATCTACTTTTAATATTCATATTGTTAATTAATATATTTAGCCATTTGAAAGTTCTTGATTGTTTTTGAACATGAAAGTCACATTGATCAACTAAAGAACTTTTATTTTCCTAATTGGTATACATTGGTATTTAAACTGACAAGAGTTTCAACTTATAAAACACAAAACTTGGATGTTACAGCTAGAGTGTTTTACCTTTATTCAAAAGTGAATATTCAGATTTTTAACAATAATTCTAAATGCATGCCTTGTCCACATTACAGACATCATGTAGGTTAGGTATCATGGTAATGACGTGTTGATCACACACACTGAGGGGTGCTAGAAATGCTGCTGAAGTAGGCAGCTGACAGTTTTAAGTTTCAAACATTCTAAAGACCAAAGCCAAATGTTGGCCAAATATGGAGACTAAAGTCAAACTTGGGTGAATCCCTATTTTCCATGCATGTTGAGATCATACTGAGTATTCTGTTCGATTGAATCTGATGACCAGTTTTAAAGTTTCAACTTGGTTTATTCCAAGGTGGTAACTAACAATCCCCCTATTGCTTTCCGTTGGGTGGTCAAGAGAGACCTCTTAGAGATAGTGACATTTTGAGCAGAGACCTCACAGTCAGCCATGCAAGGATCCGGGAGAGAGCATTCCAGGGATAGAGGCAGCAGCAAGGGCAGAGGCCTTGAGCAGGAACCAGTTTTCCTGGCTTTTGGGAGACTGGGACTAGATCTGCGAAATGATGAGGCAGAATGGCGCGAAAGGAAGCAGACGGAGGCTGGGGGGTTCACAACTGACCAAAGCACGTGGAGCCTTTAGGCCACTCGTGGGGTTCGGCTCTTATTGCCTCCATGGGAAGCCATCGCATGATTCTAAACAGGAGAGGGATGGATTCTGATTTCCATATTTCAGAGTCTTTGTGGTGTTTTGGTGGCCAATGCATCGTAGGGGAACAGGATGGGAGGTGATGGGGCTTGGACTGGGCCCACAACAAAGGGGATAGCAAAACCGGGGGGTTTGCTGACAGATCAGAGGGGAGGGTAAGAGCTGTGGAGAAGTTGAGGATATCGCCTCAGTGTTTGCTTTAGACTGATGGTCGTGTTTTCCTGAGATCCAGAAGACCGGCAGAGTGACAGGGTTTGGGGTGGGAGTGGCTGTTGGAAGTCGTGGCTCCCTATGTGAATAGCTGTAGCACTGTACTGTGGCACACGGCCACTGAAGATGCCACTCACCTGAGTGGAATGCTGCTTTGGCACATAGGGTACAGAGCTGGACTAACCTAGGTATTGACTTTCGGCTTCTCCTGACTCCTGTGTTTTTTTGTTTTGTTTTGTTTTTTTAAAGATTTATTTATTTATTTGAGAGAGAGAGACAGAGAGAGCACAAGCAGGGGGAGAGGCAGAGGCAGAGGGAGAGGGAGAAACGGAGCCCCTGCTGAGCTGGGAGCCGGCCGTGGGGCTGGATCCCAAGACCTGGAGATCATGACCTGAGCCGAAGGCAAACGTTTAACCATCTGAGCCATTCAGGCGCCCCTGACCCCTGTGTTCTGTACTTGGTTATTTCCAGAGTGGAAGAGAGGCTTTCACAGCTGAGCTGTAAGTTGATGCTGCCCATGCCTGTGGAGCTCACCTTCATGTGGCTTCTCCCAGCTGACCTTCCCCAGGCTGGAAAGTGTGTCTAACATGGGTGTGCCTCACCTGCCCCCACCACGTTCAGGTTGAGCTGGCCCCCTCCCCACTCGGTGCACCCACTGAGCCCTGCCCACTTCCTCCTCCCACATCCCTTCTCTGTCGTGTGTGCTAAGTCGCTCTTCCCTCTCAGCACCCTACATGTAGCCCCCTGAGAAATATTTGAATGAGTTTTAAAAGAAGAGATATTCCCATCATGGGAATGATTCCAAAAGCTCATGATTAAATTCTTGGGAGGGCCTTTTTGAATCCTTGAACTTGGGGCACTTACATGAGGAACCTCACATGAAACCCAAGATTTGTATTTTTTTGGGAGGATTAAAAAAATATGGTTGAGGGCGCCTGGGTGGCTCAGTTGGTTAAGCGACTGCCTTCGGCTCAGGTCATGATCCTGGAGTCCCTGGATCGAGTCCCGCAGCTGGCTCCCTGCTCGGCAGGGAGTCTCCTTCTCCCTCTGACCCTACCCCCTCTCATGTGCTCTCTCTCATATAAATAAATAAAATCTTAAAAAAAAAAAAAGATATGGTTGAAAAGTAGAATTTTAGAAAATTTAGAAAAATTTTAGAAAAGCTTGTTGCCAGAAATGTACTAATGTGTTTTAAAATGAAACCTTATTTTTGCTTTCTATAAAGTATCTGGAAGGAGCAGGCTCCAGAAACCAGACTTTGACACCTAAAATGATATTTAAAAACTGAAAAGCAAGCGAGGTAGCCCAAGCTGGTCAGCCCTAACTACGGCCAACTTGACTGGACGGGCGCCATCTTTGTTTGGAATTGGACTCCTGTTGTGTGTTCTGGGCTGCCTAGATTTGGGGAACCATCTCTGATGTTACTGTCTTCTGAATACACAAAATATAAACTCAGAGTCTCACTAGATTGAGACTAGGTAGGTAGCAGTTTTACTGGAACAAAACCAAACTTAGGGACAAAAGTGCTTTTAAACCTGAGAATCATTTGTGATTTATCTGCAGTAGAAAGGAATGTGAGGGCTAGCCAGATACATCTTGAAAGTGGTGGCCCCACGATTTTTACTAGTTTTCTTTTTGATAATATATGGGCACTGCTCAGGGAGTATTTATTTGTGCCTAGTGTACGCATACGTTCTCTCATTTCATTCTCTCCATGGACAATAAATCCTGACAGGTTGGTATTTTCTTCACTTGTAAATTTAATTTAATCCAACTCACAAGGTGAAATTTGTTTCTATTTTCAGCTCTGAACTCTTTTACAAGAAAATCTTACCAGTTGTAAGCCCTTTGAAATGGATTCCCTTTGTGATTTACCTGTAAGATTTATATTCATAGGTGTGAGCCAGCAACTTCCTGCATCGTGGTTAGCTATCAAAAATGCATGTAGACATTTTAATTGATTTTTTTTTTTTTTTGGCTCATGAACTTCTGATTCACCGAGAGCCAAATCAGTGGCTGTTGCTGGGTTGTAATTAAACAAGAGCATAGATAATAATACTCACCAGTTTCTGTGGCCATTGGTGCTTAAATTTGGCATTTTTGCAGGAGGAGCTTAACTCTGGTGGACTTTTTCTTTAGCATAATATTTCCTCCCTAGGTGCTTATTAAAATGCCGGTTCCTAAGCCCCAAGTCAGTGGTGGAACGGCCCAGGAAGTTGCGTTTCTAAGAGGCGCCCTGGGTGGTCTGGGTCCACACTGAAGCAGGAGGGCTGCTACCCCAGCCACTCAGAGCAGCGCTGGAGGAAGCAACATGGCGACCAAGGACAGATGCAGCCATGGGCCTGGGAGTTGAGCCGTCTGAGTTCTGCTTTACCATGTGACCTTGGCAAAGTTACTTATCCTTTCTGAGTCTCCATATTCTCATTTGTAATAGAGGATATCTGCTTACCTAACAGAATTGCTGTGAGGATCAAAACCACGAGGTCGCTTGATGTCACGTTGAAGGGCTTAGGGCTATGCAGTCGAGCAGATCTGGGTTCAAATTTCAGTTCTCTGGTTCTGCCTCTTGCTAGCTTTGCAACCCCAGGCAAATGGCTTCATTTCTGTTTCTCTCCCCGCAAAATGGGGACAGAAGAACCAACCGCATGATACTGGTCTAAGGACTGTATTCACTGATGTTTGTAAAAGATGTGCAGTTCCTATCTCTTAAATGATCATTGGTTTTGCTTGTTTTTGAAAATATACCTTTAGACACCCAAGTGGAAAGAAAAATAATTGTAAATGTGGATAGTGACACCTGGAGAATGAGCTGTTTTTTTTGTATATAAAGATAAGGCAGTGGCTCCATCATCAGGAGGAATGGAGTCTTTGAAGGGGGCAGATTTACCCTTGTGCCCCCACTTCATGCCTCTTGCCTGTGACCAATGGCATTTGAGTGTGACAGATGTCTGGGGGGAGGAGTTTGTATGAAATATCAAGACGTGGTCCCTGCTTCAAATGAGGTATTGAAGTATTGAATGGATGGTCCTGTGACCTAACAAGCTAGACCAGCTTCTAGACATTGATGGGAGTGTCAGGAGGAAAACAGCATGTTTTTAGTTCTTTTTCTGAAAATAGTTTGTCTACTTTTTATTTATTTATTTTTTGAAAGATTTTTATTTATTTATTTGACAGAGAGCGAGACACAAGCAGGGGGGAGTGGCAGGAGAAGCAGACTCCCCGCTGAGCAGGGAGCCCGAACTGGGGCTCGATCCCAGGACCCCGGGATCATGACCTGAGCCAAAGGCAGACGCTTAAATGACTGAGCCACCCAGGCGCCCCTCATCTACTTTTTAGATCGATGATTTAAAACGTAAACATAGTCTTAGCCAAAACCAAAGGCAGAGTCAGAAGTAGGAATAAAAGTAAAAAACTTTGCTTTGGTCCTGGCATTAAGTTGCCGTGATGGTTCTGACTGGTAGCAGGGTTTTCCGTCTCTCTCCGGTGCTTGCATTCCATAGACCTCTTCTTCACAAATTGTCAAATGTAGAATTATTCTCACACCTTAGCTTCTTTCATCAGCAGAATTCTGGACAGGCTTTTCACTGCATTGAACATATGCGCTGGCTTCTCTTGCAGGTAATTTTTAAGGGGGAGAAATGGGGCCATTTTGTCACACTGTGTGTCTTCCTTTTTCTCAGTCTGGTAGTGGCACCAATGAAGAGCCTGCAGACTCGCTAGTGCACGTCCCGGACCTGGCGCAGCACAGTCGTGTAAGATAATGGCCCAGCAAGCGAATATCGGGGAGCTCCTGTCCATGCTGGACTCCCCCGTGCTGAGTGTGCGTGATGACGTGACAGCTGTCTTTAAAGAGAACCTCAGCTCTGGTAAGCAGGGTCGCGCCCATTCTCGCTCATCTGCGCATCAGAAGAGACTGACCTGTGGGTGACTATAGTCTGCTGATGCTGGTTTTCATCTTCTGAGGAGAGTCTCCAGAACCACTGAGAAAAGAGCATCAACTGCCAGATTCACTCTCTGTGTGCTTTATTATGGAAATATTCAAAGAGACACACAGACTTATTAAGTAAGAATCACATAATGAACCCACGACCCAGCTTCAAAGTTGCTGCCTTCTTGTTTTCATCTCACCTCCCTTGTTCCCCCCACCTAAGTATTTTCAAGCAAATGCCCTGCAGAAATCACATATGTGATTTCTGGTATAAAAATGCGTGACCTCTCCTTAATCAGAGAAACAGGAATTTCAACAGTACCTTTCTTTGCTTACTAGGTTGACAGAAATCAAATATTGACTACAGAAATGGGCACTGCTGGCAGGAGAATAAATTAGTATTCAGCCTTTTTGGAGTATCCATCACCCATTAAGAAGCATGTACCAAGTGTCCCACTGACAAGAGTCTGTATTTCATTATAGCCTTGAATGAAGTCTAGTGAAAACTGGGAAAACCCAAGTATCCTTCAGTAGGTGACTGGTTCACTGAGTCATGTAGAGCCGAGCAGTGGGGCTCCAGGTCAGTGAGGAGACTGAAGTAGGTCAGAGGTGCCAACATGGGAGGGTGTCTGCAACACACTGTTAAGCGGAAGAAAACACATACACAGGCTGCGTGTACGTGGGTGTGGGGGCTTTGTGTTCGCGTGTGCACATGTGTGGTTATCCAAGTAGGAAAAGGTTTGAAAGGACGTGTACCAAACTCAAGGATGCTTGTCTCTGAAGAGTGGGTTGAGAGAGGCTGGTAGTGAGGAGGACTTTCATTTTACGTTCTTTCACATCATCTGAGTTGTTATCAGTGGACATGGTTACAATTTTATAACCAAAGAAGGCAATAAAAAAAGGAGATAGCATTTCTATGCTTTTACGGATATGTAGGCAGGTTAATTTGGTATTATCTTATTGTTAAACCTAAATAGATGGAAGGGTAGAAATAGAATGCTTCACGTAACTTTGGGGAGCATATAAAGAAATACTTTCTGGGTTTTATGACCGGCAGCCATTTGAGGTAAGTTTAGAATATTAAAGGAAATAATTATTTCCCTTTCCTTTGTTCAGACCGTGGTCCGATGCTCGTAAACACCTTGGTGGACTATTACCTGGAAACCAATTCTCAGCCGGTATTGCACATCCTGACTACCTTGCAAGAGCCGCACGACAAGGTAACTGCTGGCACGTAGTGCTGGGCCGTTCAGTCTGGCCCCGACCGGTGTGGCGGCCTCTGTGCGCACCCCGTGCGGTGTGTCCAGAGCGTGCTCCTTCACCTTCTCCGTGCCGCAGATGGTCCTGTTCCCAGATTGCAACCACGTGGAAAAAGAATTTGCGGAACCCATGTGTCCTGCAAAGTTTACAAAATAAAACATATTCCAGAGGTTTTTTTAAGCTTTCTCTGTTCCAAGAAATCCTGTAATTCCAGTGCTGTCATTGTACAGTAACAGTTTGACCTGTAAGGTGCCCATCTTTAAATCCATGCTTTGAATAGGATTTTGGACTTAATCAATGTGGGAAAATCTATGGGTCCAGACAGCTATGGGGCTAATTGCTGAGTCCTGTTGCCCAGCACCAGGCACTTGGAGGGCTCCTTAGTGTTTTATTTTTGTTGGTGGTAAATAGCTCACAAAGCACTGTAGTTGCGTACTTTGGTTAAGTGTTGAGTTTCTAAATGCTAGTGGCTTCACTAAGATTTGAAGGCCTTGCCGTTGTGTGCCTTTTCCAGTATATCTTGTTCTGTTGTTTTTCTGGGCTGAATTTTAACTTCTAGATTACCCAATTTATATTTGGGGCCAAACCATGTAGACTGGGCTATGGTAGCAATAAGCAGCTGCTACCCTCACAGCTTCAACAACCTGCCACAGGCTCAGGACCAGCAGTTTTTGGAAAAAGTGGCTTATTTGTACTTAACAAGAGGGTCCATGAGGGAGTCTGCCCCTCACCCTCCCGGCCTGCACCTGTGTATCATGGGATCCTTTTTCAGGACTTGCCAGCTGGCTGCCCTCTCTCAGGCCAAATGCAGTGGTGTTTTGTGTGCCAGTGTGGTTTTTAAAGCTCTTTCGTTTGATCTCTTCACCTGGATGGCCCTTGCTTCCCGTCTGTGGAGACTCGAGGAGCTTGGCGTACGTCCTCGTTGCCTCTGTTTATGTCATCTGCTACGTTCTCAGGAGAATTTCCCTTGTTTCCCTTGATTTCCTCCCCCCTCCCCCCAGCCTTACTGAGACCTATTTCCCCTGTTCTTTTACGTGTTTAGCACCTCTTGGACAAAATGAACGACTGTATGGGCAGAGCCGCCTCTCGGCTGCCCGCGCTGTCGCTGCTGGGGCACGTCATCAGACTGCAGCCGCCTTGGAAGCACAAACTCTCTCAAGCACCTCTTTTGCCTTCTTTACTCAAATGTCTCAAGGTACGATGTTTGCAAGGGTTTGAATGAAATGCCTTTGTGAATATTATTTCTGAAATTCTGGGTGACTTTAAAGCAAGCAAGCTAGATTTGAACTCTGAGAGTTCAGAAACTTTTAGTGTTTGGCTTTCCTCGAATGTCATGTCGTCCACAGTTGGTACTTAGTAAAATCTCAGTGCATCCCCGTGACCGGCAAGTGGCTTTCGTCCAAGCAAATAAGGTTCAACGTGACGTTATTCCCACCCTCTTGGACTCCATCATTGTCCAGTCTTCCCTCCGTTAAAACATCTGGTTTCTCTTTGAGGGAAGCCCAGATTCTCTTATAGCTAGGAGAAAAATGGCTAACAGCTCTTTTTAACCATTCAGGACCACGTTCTTGTTGCAGCCATAATTAAGGTTTTGTTGATACAGGGCCTCCTGAATCGCATTCTGCCTTTTGCACTCTAAATTTAGTGTATTTTTCTACGCAGTGAGTCAAAACCTAAGTAGAACTTTGTGGTTTTAGTTTTCACAGTGGCTTGCTGAAATACTCCAGGCTATTTGCTTAATCTGTTTTAATTCCTGGACTTGTTTCCTATCTATAAAATAAAAAATGTGGTTAATATTAACTGCCTGTACCTCACAGAGACGTGAAAATATCCAGTAGCGTTTGTCCCAGGATGGCAGTACCTCTGGATCATCTGATACAGCACCCTGCACATTGATTTTTGTCTCTGCCAGCAAGGGTAACTGTTTCATTACCCCTAGAGGTGGGAGTCACGTTGGTAGGGTATCATAAAAACATGCATTTAATGTTGAGAAAAAACAGGAACAATTGGTACAACTTGCATTTTTTTAAGTGAATGGATTGGAGAGAATATAACTCAATTTTGAGGCCACACAATTCAGTTCAGATTGTAAAACACTTCACTTTTCCAAAAGGGTAAGCTTTGGCAATTACTCATGGACTGCTACCCAAGCCATTGGTTAGAATAGTACCATAAGCAAAATTAGGGTTAGTCGTTTTTACTGGAACTGGTTATGTGTTCTTGATTCTCCTACCAATATTTTACGTTCTTCTTACTAGATAGATGTCGGCCGTGACAAAAGGCTTAGTGCTTAACATAAAAACTAAATCTATTTAAGGCTTTATTTCCAGACTCGTGGATTTCCTTTTTTTAACAGTAATAATGAGTGTCTTAGCCTGCGTGGTAGTCTTTTGATTAATATCTTGGTTCTTAAATCTGAATTCCAGTTACTTGGCAAACATTCATGATTTAACTATGGGTCAGGTGAGCTGCTGTAGCTATCCTGAGTTGATTCATTATCCATTGGGTATTAAGTATCTTCAATTAGCCTGAAGTTGTATGACTTGATATTTAAACTATAGACATGATCAGAGGTCACCATATCTTCTTTTATTTGCTGATCTATAAATGCTGCTACAAAGGTGAACCATTAGGGAGATTTGTTAGCACTATGCTAATTTCTTCTTAAATTACACTTCTGTTGTAATCCTTTAAAAAATACTGAATTACTTGACATTACTTGTGTAGTGTTTTTTAAATTGATTAACAAAAAGTAAATATTTGAGGATTTGGTTGAATGAACAGAAACTGTCATGTTCCTGTGTTCTGTTAAAGGCATCTCGTCACACTTCTGGGCCAAGTGCCATAGGCAGAGCGTCCCCAGGTCAGGTTGAAGTTTCTCTCCCAGATAGGTTTGTCTGGGGGCAGCAGAAGTGGTCTTTGCAGATTCATTATGGTCAAGTCTGACCAGCGTTGTTCCCCCCAAACCTGAGGGTGAGGAACCTGAGTCGATGAGGGGACCTCTACTTTCTGATCCCCGTAGAATTTAGAGCGGCCTCTTGCTGTGCTGGTAGTGCTGATTCTAGGGCTGTGCCTCACACGTGTTCTTCCTGCTCGACCTTTCCTTCCGCAGATGGATACGGATGTTGTCGTCCTCACAACAGGTGTCTTAGTGTTGATAACCATGCTACCAATGATTCCACAGTCGGGGAAGCAGCACCTTCATGATTTCTTTGATATTTTTGGCCGTCTTTCGTCGTGGTGCCTGAAGAAGCCAGGTAAAGATGTCCTTACATACCTGTCATTCCCTACCAGGTGAATGCTTTCGTTAGTGATTGACAGGTCGTGAGCTGTAAAGGAAAGACGTGTAGACTTTCGTAGCTGGAATGGGTGGGTGTCACCAGCCGGTTGCAGAGGGCCTTGGGTGTACTCACTGTAGGCATGACTATTAGATGCCTTCCTCATTCTGTCGGCTTAAGAGGATTAGTTTTCAGAGAAACTGGTAGGATGTAAAACTTCCTAATTGTCAGTAAACTTCAGTCTATCAAAATACCTTCAATCCGTGTTGTAGCAATACAGGACTAGGCTTGGGGCACCTTTTTGTCTTACTTTGCTGGTCTGTTGTGACAGAACACAAACCTCTGGTTCTGAGAACCTGTCTTTTGTATGTGGAGGAGGAGGGAAAATGCAGTGGGTCCTAATTAGTGTCGTCGTTTTAAATGTGGTGGGGTTTTTTCCCCATACTGGCAGGGAGTCCAGCTCTATGAAAATGATTTCAAAGCTATAAGCATGTGATACTTGGAATCTTTTGGTAAGGCCAGCATGAGCTATTCATGTTGAAAAGATGAAGTGTGTAAGCCATGTCACACCAGATCCTGTAGCTTCCTGTACAGGATTAATAACAAGTGCAAGATCCATGTGATGCTCGTTATTTAGTAGGCTCTTCTGGGGAGGAAAGGAGTGGTCTGTCCATTATTATGGAGGAGCTGTACGGATCCTGTGGACTTAGGGTTTTCGATGGGGTCTGGGTGAGGCTCGATGAACAAAGTGTTCAGTTTCTCCCACTCTCAGCTTCTTAAGCTAGTTTCTAGATAATAGTTTTTTCACTCTTTAGTTACAAATCTGCATCACTAAGACTACACGCTGATTTCAAAAGGATCTCTCACATTTGTTCTGCAAATATTTGAATGTCTGTTCTGCACCAAGCACTGTGCAAGGCACTAAGGGTACAGAGGTGAGTAAGACGGTGCAGTAAGAGTGTTCAAGAAACTCAAGAAATTCATGCTAAATAGGACAGTGGAGAAGTATCATTACAAATTTTTGGGGGGCACATGGCTGGCTCAGTTGGTAGAGCATGCAGCTCTTGACCTCAGGGTCGTGAGTTGGATCCCCATGTGTGGCGTAGAGTTTACTTAAAATTAGAATAATAATCATAAAAAACAACAAGAACAAATTTTAGGGAGAGTGATTATCATGAGAAAGTTAGGTCAGTATTGTGAGAGTGTCGAGTGAAGACAGGAGAGTAGCATTGGATCTGTAGGGGCCTTTATGGGTCATTCTAAGTATATTGGAGTTTATCCCAAGGCTGTAGGGAGCCACTGATGGATTTTAAATAGGGGTGTTTTGTGTGTTAAGATTTGCATTTTAGAAAAACACTCTTGCTATCTGTGGAGTGAGGTGGGAGCAGTCGACCGCAGGTCATGCTGGTGGCCATGTGCTCACGTTTGCTTTGCACAAGTCATCTTGTGTCTGGCTGAGTCTCCTGTCCATGATTTCCTGTTTTAGGCCACGTGACAGAAATCTATCTTGTCCATCTCCATGCCAGTGTTTATGCTCTCTTTCATCGCCTCTACGGAATGTACCCTTGCAACTTTGTCTCCTTTCTACGCTCTCACTACAGTATGAAGGAGAACTTGGACACTTTTGAAGAAGTGGTCAGGGTGAGTGAAGACGGCTCATTTGAGAGCCTGCATACTGTGCGCACAGGCTGTGGTTGGGACCCGTGTATTCAGCGGGAGACAGATTTTGAAAAGCAATTCAGCTCTCCCCATAGCCCCAGCCCTAGGCAGCCACTGATCTCCTTTCTGCCTTTGTAGACTTGCCTCTCCTGGTGAGCGTTTCACAGACCTGGGATCATACAGTATGTGGTCTTTGGGGACTGATTTCTTTCACTTGGTGGAATGTTTCAGGGGTCATCCATGCTGTGTAGCAGATGTCAGGACTCCATTCCTTTTTATTGTCAAGTAATATTCCATTGTGGGCAGATACCATAGAAATTAAGCCTTTTGTAATTTGTCAACCCGAACTCTTCTAGCCAATGATGGAGCACGTGCGAATTCACCCGGAATTAGTGACTGGATCCAAGGACCACGAACTGGACCCTCGAAGGTATAGAAATGAAGCTAGCGACTCAGAATTTTACAGCGTCACTTGACAGATTCATGTGCTGTAGGCGATGTCCCTCCTGGGGTATTATTTGGGAATACAGGTTCTTCTACTTATAGAATCACTCTGTTTCGAAGGACTTGTACAGCTAGAACTTGGTTCGAGTCTGAAACATACTCCTCACAGACAGAGAATTAACCATTCCTCCAGGGGAGCGGAGGCGGTTGCCATGCAGACACCGGCCCCGCAGAGCCCCAGGAAGGCGTCCAGCTCGGGGGTACCGGCGATTGGGGGTACCGGTGATCGCACGAGGCAGGCTGAGCAGCACGTAGTTGAAAACAAGTGGGTTGTGGGAAGTGTGGGTGTCGAGTGGGGAGCCTCCCCCTGCAGGTAGCCAGGCAATGGCCGGCTGGCCTCCAGGGGACCCTGAGTAGTCTCTAGGTTTATTCTCTGGAGGAAGTGCACCTGCCAGGCTTCCTATTCGAGGATGTCAGGTGTGGGGCGGGTGGAGCTAAGAAGGGAATGAAGTTCTCTGCACGGAGCTGGGAGAAGCTCAGCTCCCTCCTCCACCTTCCCTGGCTGGCAGCTAGGCCGATGCTCCCCCTGGCTGAGGATTGAACCCTTTTTGGGGAAACCTGTCCACAGATAACTGACATTTAGGGATCTCCCACTGAAAAAGCTGGTTCATGCCTGATCTCACCTGACAAGCCCTCGCTCTGTCATGCAGAGCCTCAGTTGGCTCAAAACACCTTCGTGTGAGAGAGATGGTATGTGGAGAGGTATACGAATTATGCCTGTAAAGCGTAATAACATCACACGAGTACCTCGGCACACAGCCGCCGTCCACCTTCTCAGCTGGAACTTTGCTACACATCTTTCTCCCTGTTCCTGTCCCACTTCAGAGAAACTCCCGTTCTTGCTTTTATGTTAATCGTTCTTTCTTTTTTGTAGAGTTTTACCATGTGTATCGTTGTGCTTTGGAAAGCTAACTGGGAAGCCAAGCCAGGCTAAGGAAAGGGCAGTCCTATCACTATTAGATGAAGGTCCTCAGGAGGCGAGGGGAAGAGCCCAGTGTTTGCGTCTTCGTCCGGCTTCCCTTCATTGAGAGTTTACAGGAGCCCCAGGGGTGGGGGGATGTCAGTGGGCAAGGTCATTCACGAGTAAGACCTGAGACACAGAATGCTCACCCTAGTCAGAGCATCTCACAGGGCCTGTAACGAGGCCGGCTTCTGGATGTGCTGCCGAAATGTGGCAGAGGACAAAGACTGCTCGTTTGCTGCTTCTCAGCTCATGGTGGCCCACTTCTAGGAGCAGGTCAGAGCAGCGTCCATCTGTGGGGCTGATCCAGGCAGAGAAGGGAGAGTGGGGCCTTCATCAGTGCTTACTCAGGACAGACTAAGCACAGACAACCTATCTGGGCTGGGGTCACCTGCACACTGCATCCCTCCGTTAAGAAGATAGTGCGGTGGCAGCGGGGACGAGGGTGACAGCCTGCCACATGCCTGTCTCTTGGCCTGCCTGTCGGATCCATGCCTCGTGCACGGTGGTTCTCTGCGTCTCTCCTGTGCAGGACCTCCCGTTCCCTGTGTCTCCTGTCTCTTTTCTGGGTTTGCTCTTGTTTTTGTGGAGTGTACCCTCTAGTAGCTCTCAGAGAAAGGAAGCGGTTATGTGGCTGGGTACAGACTTCTGGTCGCCCTCATTCTGCAGCCTGAAGACATTGTGCCATCGCATCTTGCTGCCAGTGTTGCTGTTGAAATCCAAAGCTCTTCTCATTTCTCATGTCTGTGTTTGCCCTGTTTTCCTCTGCGGGAGCCTGTAGAGCCCTCTCTTCATTCTCCTCATCCTCCGACATTGCCTAGTCAGAATCTGTTCTCCTTCTTTAATCTGGAAACTCTTATCTTCAGGCTCTAGGAAATTTTCTTTATCTCGTGTTTGATTTCCTTCCTTCCATTGTGTCTGTCTGTCTTTCTGGAACTACTGGTATGTAGATTGGGGCCTCCTAGAGTGTCCTCTGCTTTTCTTTGCTCTCCTGTTTTTTCTCTCTACTCTTTTGTTTTTTCTGAAGATCTCCTCATCTTTAGTTTTTAATCCTGTTGTAAGTTTCCCTCCTAGTGCCATGTTCTTAGCATCTAAGAGTTTTTTATAAGTCTCTGAATGCTCCTCTTCGTAGCAGCTTGTTTGGGGTTTCATGGGTGCAACCTCTCACATCCTCGAGAATGCTGAGAGCCGTTTGTTCCCCATGTAATCCGTGGACTGCTGTTCTTTTGAAGTCTTCGAGGCTTTCTGCAAAGATCTGATAATCTGCTTGTGTCTGGGTAGGGAGACCAAAAAGCTCTCTTCACAGGGGTGGGACTTGTCACCTCTGAGCTTCCCGTGTGTGTGTGTGTGTGTGTGTGTGTGTGGTGTGTGCACATGGGTCTGAACGTCTGTTGGAGATCCTGATGTCAGTATCGTGTTCCTCCTGAGCTGGTCAAGTTTTTGTAGAGAAGGGTCTTCTAATCGCTAGTCTGGGGAGGGTCTGGCTGCTGCTGGAGGGAAGAGGCTAGTGGTGAGAGAGGTTAGTGGTCTTGGCATTCAAAATGTACGTGCTCACTTAAATCCCTTGTTTGAATGGTACTCATGTCCTCAACTATTTCTGGAGTAGCTCAGTCCCAAAAATCTGTTTTACTCTTTCCAGAGAATAGCCCAGATTTCTGCTGCCTGGGAGCCTAGAATTGGGGAGGAGACCTTGGCACTCCGACCCTCAGATAGTTTTCACCCTGTCTTCCCCATGCTAGCTGTCCTCATCTACCTGTCGCTCATCTCCAATTCCAGAAGTACTTGAGGTGTAAAAATTCTTTAGCTTTTTAAGGATTCTGCAGTATAAGTCAGGTTGACTTTTAGCTTTGAAACAGTGGGAGCTTAGGATTCTGCTTTCTTGGATTTGCTAGTAGGTTGCCTCTGGCCTGTCTGCTTTCTAGTTTCAGGAGCCTGTAGTGCTGATCTGTCTTCCCCCATTCTTCTCCTTCTCATAGGTTTATATTTAAAAACAAACTAATCCATACTGTAGATTTGGTGGGTTTAGGGAAGTTATACAATTGGATGCATATGTTCAGTGTGTGAGACTAACTTGGAAGTCTCCCAGGCCAGCTTAGAGAGCCTCGCTTCCCATGGGTAGGCAGGGGTCATCTGGCTTTTGAAGAAAGCTCTAACACAAAAGACAAGAGACCCAACATAGGGGCGCCTGGGTGGCTCAGTCAGTTAAGTGTCTGCCTTCACCTCAGATCATGATCCCAGGGTCCTGGGATCGAGCCCCACATTGGGCTCCCTGTCAGCGGAGAGTCTGCTTCTCCCTCTGTCCCCCGCCCCACTTGTGTGCTTGCTCTCTCTCCCTCAAATAAATAAATAAAAGCTTTTTTTTTTTTTTAAAAAAAAAGGGGGCGCCTGGGTGGCTCAGTCGTTAAGCGTCTGCCTTCGGCTCAGGTCGTGATCCCAGGGTCCTGGGATCGAGTCCCACATCGGGCTCCCTGCT